GGGGAGGGGGGGGAGGGGCGCCCCCCTCCCCCCCAGCCGGTACGGCTGCGTCTGGGGAGGAGCTGGGTTCCACCCTGAAGCCACCCCAGATCTCCAGTGGGGCTGGGGAAGGGGATAACCCCACCAAAGCATCCCCACTACCGGGACTCCGTGAGCCTGTCCCCCGGGGATGGGGTGCACCGGGCAGTCGGGGTGAGAAGTGCTTAGAGAGGGGGAATATACGGCAACCGACACATCTCGCAGGGAGAAGGGAAACTGAGGCACGCGGTGATGCTGCACACTGGACCCTCACCTCCACCAAGCAGTCGCCCACCAGCCCGAGGAGCAGACGGGTCCCGTTGTGCTCCCGCACCAGCGCCGCGTTCTCCGAGCGCGTCATGCAGGTGAAGTCGAACATGTCGACGTCTGGCAGGTCCCGGTGGTTGAGGGCAAACTCCAGCTCGGGCAGGCGGTAGTTGGTGGAGAAGTTGGCAGCTTCTTTGGCGTAGCTGAGAAGGGCATCCCGGTTCACGTTCTCTGGGGACAGGAGGCTCTCGATGTCTGCCTTGTCCTATGGGAATGGGGATGGGGTGAAGCTGGCCGGGATGCAGGAGATGGCGTTTGCCGCCCAACCTGGGTGCAGCCAGCTCTGGGGTGAAGCTTTGCCACCAGGCTTGGGACCGTGAGCACCCCAAAAAGAGATTTTCCCCCGGCACGGGACACCGGCACAGTCAATGGCAGCCGAATCCCACACCAGCCCAGGGGTGCACAGCCAAACCAGTAGCCATGACTCACATCCCACCCTCCAGGCTTTCAGCGGCCAACGCCACGGGATGCCGGGGCCTGATCCTGCCCTCCTCACCTGCAGGATGACCCCTTTCTTGAGCAGGCTCTGCTTCTTGGCCGTCATGACGAAATAGTGAGTGTCGTCCTTGTAGTAGACGATGTTTTCCAGGTCGATGCCTGGTGATGGGGAAGGGGCTGAGCTGAGCCACGGGGCAGAGCCAGGGCCACGGGGAGCCCCCACGCTGGGCTCAGCCACCACACGTCCCCTGCAATGGGGTACCACGAGGGGACGCGCATCCCATCACACAGGGGACATCCCAGGGCTGAGCCTCCAGTCGCATCAGGGGGAACGGGGACCCCCGGGCACCCCCCACGCCGGGGCCGGGACCACCGACCTGTTTTGTTGTAAAGGTTTTGGAAGAACTTCTGGTTGTAGATTCGGGCTACGCCGCTGATCTCAGCCACCTCCACCTCGGCCCGGCTGTGGCGGTTGATGAAGTTGGTGGTGATGCCGATGGCCAGCTTCCCCCGCGTCTCCTTCCGCTTGAACCCTGCGGGCAGGGAGAGGCGTGAGCCCCCATCCAGCCCCCC